CCCCAAAACCCCAAAACCCCAAAACCCCAACCTTGTTAAATAAAGTTGAATTAGACCTCATAATGGAGAAGGCTTTAATGGTTTATAAATACTTTTGCCTTGGTTTATCATCCTTATAAATTCCATAAAGACTATCATTAGTATACTGCTTCATAATGCTGATATGTGCTGAAGTCTTTTGCCTTGCAAGATTATGATCATCTTTAAATGATTTGTAAATACTTGTCTTTCCAATATCTGGATAAGCAGAGGAGTCTAAAGGTAGTCAGAAGTAGCATACCACAACCAAAGAAGCTTGAAGGAGGATCCTTGTGGTTCTCACTTAGCTCATTTTTGGCTTCAGATTCACTATACTACAAATATTAGGTAGGTTTCTTGCCTTCGTCAAGTCATTTATATCTTCTCTGATTCTTCGAATATCAGAATTTACTAATTTGTTGTATTCTTTGGTATTTTTAGCAAGGTCCATGAAGGATTTCCTAGCCTTAGTAAGGCATTCATTAAAGCTCTGGATCCTTGCTGTATCAAGTGCATTAGTGTACCTCCTATATCTTAGAACCAGTTGATGTACTCTGTAGTTGTGTATAACATTCTCTCATATTTCGAAATTGTACTGGTATCAGTCTTCTCTCCTTTAGGAGTGGCATTTCCCGAAGTAAGGTCAGCATCACTAGCAATGCCCATATTCCTTTTAATAGCAATTTTGAGGTTATTTCCTCGAAGTTGGGTCTCACTAATGGACTTGGCAAGAGGAGGATTTGTAAACCTCCTTTGACCAAGAGACTTGTTTGGTTGAAGCCAGTTGATAACTTTCTCAATATTTTTATTCAAATACTTGCTCATTTTTCTATTTTGTTCCTTAATTTCTTCCTCTGAGTCTGAGCTGTGCAGTATCTCCTCTGCTTCGTAGCTATAAATGTAATCTTGAATATTAGAGCTTTAGAGGTTATATCTCCCATTGGTTGTTTATTCTAGACTGGATAGTATAGAATAGGTCATAAATGTGAAAGTAGATCAATTTTCTAGAAATAAGGACTAGACTAAGCCTTATTTTGATACAGCTAAGTTTGAGAGCAGAGAGTAGCTAGAGTGATATTAAGAGAGAGATAGTAATGCAACATAATATGTCAATGAACGTCCAAGAAGGTTAATTTTCTATGATATGGCTCTCAGTTATTTTCCAATAAGAAGAAGCTCAACCATAATTTCCCCAGTATTTTACCTGTAAATATCTTTATGTTGGTTCCCAAAAGTGGACATAGACTCTATCCTTGAGCATTGAGGCTTACCTCTGACTTCTTTGTCATTGAATAGAGATTGGTATGGCGTTTTGCCATTCATAGATCCTAATGCCTCTTGCATTTCCCTGATCCTACTCTGAAATTGGCTAAAAATGTGCTGGTTATTACACTTCAGAGCTTCAACCTTTATTATCTCCTGATAAGTAGCATCGATAATGGCAAAGGTCTTGGCAGCCTTCTTGAGCCTGGAAATCAGTTCACCTCGAAAAGCATGGATTTTATTCAAGATTTTCTGTGGAAGATAGTAGCCCTTTGGATTTGGAATAAGAAAGTTTCCCTGAGCCATACTTTTGAAGTTAACCCTCTTTCTTTTATTTAAACGCATCCCCTAAGTTTGATATGTCAGGACTTACCTCGTGATGAAGAAATTGGACTTGCTGATATAAAGGAGCTATCGAGATTCCTAGATGAGCTATCAGGCCTGCTAGCTGACTTTGGTTCCTCGACAGTCTGATAAAAGTCATATTTCATACCAACAACAATGTAGCTGGAGTGTATCTGGTCGATGATTTCTTTGATTTCTGGGCTTGTCTTTGATAGATCATAAAAATCCTCTCTCGTTAATTGCAGTAAAACACAATCAGTGCATGCTGAAAATTCAAAAAGTGAATAATTAGATAGAATTCATGTGAAGAAATTGAAGCAGGACCCCTCTCGGAGCACCACGAAAGGGATCCTAGCTCCTGTCTCCGGGTCAATAGTACTGATAAGGACCTCACCAGAGTAAATGAAGTAGATCTTATCACATATTTCTTTCAAGTTTATGAGCGCCTTTTCTTCCTTGGCTTGGATCCTTGTAAGTCTCAGTAAGATTCTCCTGACACAGCTGTGCTTGAGGGTTTTAAGAATCGGCACCTTTACAATCATTTTATGTAAAGTTCTAAACAAAGGATCTTGGTATTTAAACATCTGCTCTTTGATCTTACTGTTGCTATCCCCATGATTCTCTAGAGAAACCTAATAAAATTAGACTTATGCATTCTTGCTCAGATGGTATCACCTGCAGTATGTACAGAGGCAGTGATAGGGAGATTGTTCAGGGCAGAAATCTCTCCGAAATAAGTACCAGCCTCAAGCTCATTAAGGACTGTATAGTTCTTGGAATCGTCAATTCTTCCATATTTGTTAATAATACTTTTTATAGGATTCTCAAAATGAACTTCATTCGCAACTTTAGTGTTCTTGGTTGGACTCATATTGTGAGGAAAGGTAGGCTCATCGACTAAATTAGAACTTGACTCATGTCCACTACTCTTGACAGTACTCTTAGAATCTTGCATTTCCATCTTTGTTACTAAGCTTGAAGGAACTATTTTGGCATCATTAGAGTTTATAAAGTTCCGTTCTGTTTTGGATTTGTTTGGAACCAAGCAACCGATAGAGTCTTCTTCAGACTGATTTAAAATTTTCAAATTATTTTCAGTTTTCTGTATTTCAGTCACAACTACTGCATCTGATCCATCAGGTCATTGATTGTTGGCCTCTTGAGCTGCTTTCTCCTTTGCTATTCTCAGAGCTTCCATGAAGACATTGGTGATCTTTTCCTCCACCACTGGCTCTTCAAAGGAGTGGTCACTATCATCATCCAATCACTGTTTCTTTTTATGTGCAATATACTGCTGCACTTTCTTGAAATCAAAATATTCAAAATCGTTGTGTTCAAGTATGACCTCAACGAACCCCTCAATAATGAAGTAAACATACTCGTTGTCTAGGCCTTGTTTGAGAATGATGTCACCAGATAGGAAGTATCATAGCTCTAAGTCTTTACAGAACGCATCCAATTGGTGAGATTTTCTGCTATCAAGAAACAGAAGTTTCCGAATCCCAGGCCTTGTTTGGTAATACTTTATAGTCTCTGTAATAGAATTTGGCACATATTGGGACTCATTCATACCATAATAGTAGTCAAAGATCCTGTCCTGGATCTTCTCAGGGAGCCGTAAGTTAAGCATTATTGTGCTGATAATATCGACTTCCTCACTTTTCTCTCGATCTTTCTTAGTTAAAGCTGATAATAGGGAAGCGAACTCTCCGATAATCATTCCAATAAAAATAGTTCCAAGAAAAAGGAGTAGAGTACTAACCAGTAGCTCAGTATTATCGGTGGGTAAAATCTCGCTCCCCACGAGGATGATTCATGCGTAATAGTAGAACATATTATAGGCACTCAAGCTATCAGTGGTGTATGCACTAGTCACTCGATAGTCCAGGTCCTTTGGAGGAAACCATGTCTTATTAGATTCAGTAACGAAGTACCAAAGTCAGTTTATCCAATGCATTATCATAAGAATAAAGAATATCAATTGGCCGAATTTCAGACTGAACTTAAGCTTTTGGTTTGCCCTCAGAAGAGTGATGAGCCTTCCTAACCTTAATAACCTGACCAGTTTTAGCATTCCTAGAAATCGGAGGTCCACAGTGCTAGAAGGGATTATCAACACGACCACTTCCAGTGGCATTGAGGCCACTAGATCCACTCCAAACCTACCATAGAGGATATAGTTGATGGCGATTTTATTTGCCATCCTTGACAAGTTCATCAGTGTGAGAGTTCCTGTACATTGTCCTGAAGTTGATGAATATATCAACAATGAAAGCAGTATCGATAATCCTGTCACAAATATCAAGAATGATATGGGAATTATGATCGTAAGCAAATTCATAGGGAATCAATACTGAATTATACACAGAAAAGATAATAACAATGAGGTCCCAGATGGCCTTAAATTTAGAATCTGGGTGAACTAGGTTCTTGTCACATCTATTTACCCTCTTCAATTGCTTGATGTCCTCCTTCATCAAATTTAACCGAAGCAACTTGTTCCTTCTGGGAGAAGTATGATGTTTACTCCTTCTACGTGTGTCCATTTGTTTGAAAATTATATAATTTCTTTAAATCAATTGAAAACATTTCATGGGGTTTTGGGGTTTTGGGGTTTTGGGGTTTTGGGG